TTTGAGGCAGAGTTTTGCTCTTGTTGCCCAGGCTGTAGTGCAATGGCGTGATCTCGGCTCACCACAACCTCTGCCTCCTGGGTTCAAGAGATTCTCCTGCCGCAGCCTCCCGAGTAGCTGTGATGACAGGCATGTGCCACCCCACCAAGCTAATTTTATATTTTTAGTAGAGACGGGGTTTCTCCATGGTGGTCAGGCTGGTCTCAAACTCCCACCCTCATGTGATCCGCCAGCGTTGTTCTCCCAAAGTGCTAGGATAACAAGCGTGAGCCACCATGCCTGGCCTCCTGCTCACTCTTTAAGACTTGACTTAAGCTCCAACTTTTTGTGGTCCCTTTCCACTCTCCCATAGCATTTCTATTTTCTGCCATGGTATTTATCACTCTGTGCCTTGATAGTCTATTTATACATCTGCTTCCCCTACTAAACTATAAGTACCTTGAAGAACCAGGAATTATTGATGGTGACATCCGCAGTGTCTAGCATAGTACTTGGCATTTAGTAGGAGCAGCTGTAATCAGAAATACCTGGATTTTTTTTTTTTTTGAGACAGAGTCACCCAGAGTGTCACCCAGAGTGGAATGCAGTGGCATGATCTCAGCTCACTGCAACCTCCAACTCCTGGAGTCAAGTGATCCTCCCACCTCAGCCTCCCAAGTAACTGGGATTATAAGCATGTGCCCATGCCAGGCTAATTTTTTGTAGTTTTAGAAGAGACAGTGTTCCACCAAATTGGCCAGGTTGCTCTCAAACTCCTGATCTCAAGTGATCCACCCACCTCAGCCTCCCAAAGTGCTGGGATTACAGGTGTGAGCCATCACACCCGCCCAGAAAGACCTGGATTTGAATCTAGCTCTGCCATTTTCTAGCATGATCTTCAGCAAGTTACTTCACCTCCTGTGTCTCAGTTACACACCCTGTAATACAGGCCTCATGATACTTACTGCAAGATGTTATGGTAAAAATGCAATTAAATAACTCTGTATGCTAGAACAAATTTGTGGGCCTTTTGATATCTCACTTGCTCCTCCTGCAGGAAATAAGGCAAGTATTATAAGGTTCATTTTTCAGAAGAATCAATAGAGGTCCAGAAAAGTGGAAGTTCATTTTCTTTTTTTTCTTTTTTGAGATGAACTTTCACTCTTGTTGCCCAGGCTGGAGTGCAATGGCATGATCTTGGCTCACTGCAACTTCCACTTCCCGGGTTCAAGCAATTCTCCTGCCTCAGCCTCCTGAGTAGCTGGGATTACATGTGCATGTCATCATGCCCAGCTAATTTTTTGTATTTTTAGTAGATAAGGGTTTCACCATGTTGCCGAGGCTGGTCTTGAACTCCTGACCTCAGGTGATCCACTCGCCTCAGCTTCCCAAAGTTCTGGGATTACAGGTGTGAGCCACCATGCTTGGCCTGAAAGTTCATTTTCTAAGGTTGCAAGGTAAATAAATGAAAGAGCCAGGACCCAAATATGAATCTCCCAAGTTGGAGGTTTTCTGTCTGCCAGCGAAGTGGGAAGGGCATGGACTCCAGGACTGCTGGCTTCTAAGCCAGCATGTGGGTATTGTGTGGTGCTCTTGGAGAAGACTGGCTCCTCCTGGACAGCAAGACCTGCCCCACCAAGGGAAACAGAGTGAAGTCTTTGACTCCAGATCCTCCTTAGTACAGGGGTTCTTGGTTACCTCAATAGCTTAATCAGGAAACAGAAGGCAGTCCCTAACTGTTTGATGTTGGAGGAAGTAGAAATGTAAGAGCTTTCTTTCATGAGAGGTAGACGAAGGCTAGGCATGATCTGGGAGGATTCTGAGAAGGAAGGTAAGTACGAGACCCACTGTACATAGAACCTACTGTTTGCCAGCTACTTTCTCACATGTCCATTAATTCAGATTATAAACATTTAGTGAGCACCTACTATCTGCCTGGTGCTGTGCTAGATGCTAGGGGTACCCCAGTGAAAGAGACCAGAAAGGAAGGACACTTAAGGCAAACAAGTGACAACCATAAGGAACACATAGTAGGCCGGGCGCAGTGGCTTACGCCTGTAATCTCAGTACTCTGGGAAGCCAAGGCGGGCAGATCACAAGGTCAGGAGATCAAGACCATCCTGGCCAACATGGAGAAATCCCATCTTTACTAAAAATACAGAAAAATTAGCCAGGCGTGGTGGCGCACGCCTATAGTCCCAGCAACTCAGGAGGCTGAGGCAGGAGAATTGCTTGAACCCAGGAGGCGGAGATTGCAGTGGGCTGAGATCACACCACTGCCCTACAGCCTGGGTGACAGTGGGAGACTTCGTATCAAAACAAAGAAAAAAAAAGAGCACATAGTAGTCTTCTTATTTTATGGATAAAGAAACTGGATCTTAGGAAGGGAAATAAATTGTCGACATCACATAGCTAGTGTGGGGACTCAGAATGCAGATTTGTTCATTTTGAAACTGGATACCCTTTCTATTAAGCCATCCCACTTCCCTCAATCTGCTGCCTCCAAATCATTTCCCTCACATACCTGTTTCAGCACTCCAAATGTCACCATTAGAGAGATACCCTTATGGGATAACACTTTCTTCTCCTATAATTCCCTATTAAAATGTCAGGACAGCATACCCGGTGGCCTGATATTAGCATATCTCAGTTTATCAGCTTTAATCTATCAGTCACCTAGCAGGAAGCAGAAGGGAGTGGGTAGCAGATGGTGAGTTCTGATGGAGGGAAGAGAAAAGAGGAGGAAAGGTATGGTGGCCTAAATGTACTAGAAAGGAATATGGATTAGTAATTTTTATTTTTATTTTTATTTTTCACAGACGGGGTCTCGCTATGTTGCCCAGGCTGGAGTGCAGTGGCTATTCACAGGCATGATCCCACTACTGATCAGCACGGGAGTTTTTACCTCCTCCGTTTCCGACCTGGGTGGGTTCACCCCTCCTCAGGCAACCTGGTGGTCCCCTGCTCCCGGGAGGTCACCATATTGATGCCGAACTTAGTGCGGACATCTGATCGGCATAGCGCACTACAGCCCAGAACTCCTGGGCTCAAGCAATCCTCCCACTTCAGCCTCCCGAGTAGCTGGGACTACAGGCACGTGCCACCGCACCCAGCGATTAGTAATTTCATAATCTTAGCACAGGGGTGTGCACAGTGGCTCACATCTGTAATCCCAGCACTTTGAGAGGTTAAGGTGGGCAGATTGCTTGAGGTCAGGAGTTCCAGACGAGCTTGGTCAACATGGCAAAATTCCGTCTCTATTAAGAATACAAAAATTAGCTGAGCGTGGTGGCTCATGCCTGTAATCCCAGCTTCTTGGGAGGCTAAGGAAGGAGAATTGCTTAAACCTGGGAGGCAGAGATTGCAGTGAGCCAAGGTCACGCCATTGCATTCCAGTGTAGGCGACAGAGCAAGAATCTGTCTTAAACAAAAAAACTTATCGCAAGTCAGAAATAATAAGTATTATTTTATTGATAGAGTTGAATACATAAAAATAAATTATTTTGTGTTGCAAAAGTTAAATTAAAGCAAATTCAAAAGAAATGATAAGCCAGGTACGGTGGCTCATGCCTGTAATCCCAGCACTTTGGGATGCCAAGGCAGGCAGATCAATTGAGGTCAGGAGTTTGAGATCAGCCTAGCAAACATGGCGAAACTACGTCTCTGCTAAAAGTACAAAAATTAGCCGGGCATGACGATGTGTGCCTGTAATCCCAGCTACTTGGGAGACTGAGGCAGGAGAAGCACTTGAACCTGAAAGGCAGAAGTTGCAGTGAGCCGAGATCATGCCACTGCACTCCAGCCTGAGTGACAGAGTGAAACTTGGTCTCAAAAAAAATAATAGTAAGTATACACAAAGACAAAG